CCCCCCACCTCCCTCTTTATGCCAAACTGAACAACGTCTTTCCAAACTAGATCTAATCTCATGTCCACTGAGTGATAGCGAGACTATTTTTCACATGATAGTGTCACAGTTTTCATTCTATCCCTTTAGTTGTTTCGTTTTTCTTTGCTTTTTGTTGGTTTAAAAAAAATATTGATCCTTTTCAATAATTTTTATGCGTATATTTGTTTTTTTTTTAATGTTATAGTTATAGGCATGTTGATCTATTCATAAAAAAAGACCACATTGTTTTGTCTAGCCATCAATTCAGCTCTGGCGCTCAAGGAGGGGGTGATACGGAAACAGGTGCAAATCTACACGGGATTGCGAGCAGGTTTGCCCAGTCGGATGGATGTATTGAAGTCAAGCGTGAAGCGGCAAGGGTAGGTGTCCATTGGTTCATGGAACCCAACATACGTAGCTAGCTTGCCTTTTCTCTACATCAGGTGAACTAGCTTTGTTGGACAAGTAGAAAAGTTGTAAGAAAACGACGTGTTTTTTTGTTATCACCACGAGGCGATGGCAGTATAGTGGCCATTCGCTCAAAAACGGCAAAGGTATTGAAGTAAGCATTTTGGTAGAGCTGGGTCGCGAGCGCGAGAACGGAACTGAATCGCCACTCTTCCCTGCGGAACGCGATTCGCGATTCACTTCAACTTCATCGGAACGCGGAACAGTATCGCCTTCGGATCCCCGATTCACTCGTGTGGCTGTCACCATCATGAGGCTTGTTTGTAGCTCTATCTGATCTATAGGCCTAGTGCTGCTCGTATGTCGCGAGCGCAAGAACGGAACATGAAACGGAACACTTAGCACGGCTCCCCTTATTTTACAAAAGATGGTATAGTCCAACCCCGCTATTAAAACAAAATGAACGGGTTCCAACCAATAGACAGAAGGAATTTTATGGAGCCATTGTTTTAGCGAATCGTGGGGTGTGTGTGTGTGTGTGGGGGGGGATTTATGGGGTCACTAATTGAGGTCAGTTGAGGAGCGCAACGAAAGGTGGAG